TATCTCATCATTAATCCTTTTCTTATTTTCCGAATCTAAAAAGTCATCAATTTCTTTATCTTCTAATGATTTAGATTCGCCAGAGCATGTTTCATTAAGGTTAGATGTATCGGAAATTGTGTTAACTACTTGTTCTGAAGTGTCTAAAGTTACTAAGTCAGTGCTAGTCATGGATTGATCCACTTCGTGGTGAGTTGAAGAACCTTTAATCTGCGCATTTTCACCATTTGAGCAACCCTTATTAGGTAATGGAGTGGAATATTCCGGAGATTTTAAATCATTAGTAACTGTTCGATTTTGCTTTTCAATATTCCTAACAGCTCGTTTTAATTTTCTTGAGCTCGGCATTTTCTGTTTGACTTAACTTTGTAGTCTGTTCTAATTCCACAATTCTAACCTCAAGCTTATTTTTTTCTTTCGCGATCTGTTCCAATTCTGCGATTCTAGCCAAAAGCCAGACATTCACTTGTTTCAATAAATCTAGTTCGGATTGGGTGTTCATCATTATTTTATATAAGATGTGAATTATTCAAAAGTTATTTATTATCATAAATAAAAAACATGACATTTTGTCATCGGAATTACATTTCTTATTGCGAATCACTTATCCGGATTATGCGAAATGCAGTAATAGTAAAAATTGTATTGTGATTGTGGATTATAACAAATTTCACGATGTCTCAATTAATATTCTGAAAATGAAATTAAAACTTTAAGCAATTACATTACTTGCATTTTTATTACAATAATTGCATGACGTTTTACTACAGTTACAGTTGGTATGTAGTTTACATTGCCCCAATTATTTCTATTTTAACTTCGATAATTCCTGTGACTTTTTAATTACAATTCATACTCGATAAATATCACGTTTACCTTTCTTTATTGGACTCGATGAAGGTGTACCGAACGATCTGGATTGCTCGCTGTAAACTGGAATTTTCCTTTTGCGTTCCCTGTGTAAACGTGAATCGGAAAGCGAGACATCATTTGTGTGATCACAAATTACCTTCAATGTGGACTGAAATAAGATGAGTATAATAGTGAGATGTTGTATGTACCAACTGCAACGATAGTAAGCATATATTACCTTGATGTCTGACATAGTAGCATAAAAGCCTTCGAGATTTGCAAGCGTTTTTAAAGTAGTGGGCATCTTTTTTTGGGAAAGTCTTCCTAAACGTAATACATTTGTAGCCTTACAGTCCATGCCATAGGTTTCGTGGATCCACCCTTAGCATAAGAATAAAAGTTAGTCACAAAATTCGAAATTTGATTATTTTATTTTTTTACCTACCCCATGATTGAATTCCAAGAACATATGTACTATGAAGATCATTTCCAGACGCATTGGGATTTGTTTTGAAAAAATTATAAAGGACATCGCGCATTGCTACGGAAAGATCAGCTCTATCCTCGTGAACTTTTTTGCAATGTGCAACAGGGAGACCACCACTTCTAAGGCCAATAATGGCTTCAAGGTTATTAATGCTATTTTTCAAAGTACCCCGAAAGTCGTACTTTTGACCTATGCGTGCTCGGAGGACTACTGAGCGTCCTTCGTTTCTTCGAAGGGCAGAAGCCCAACAAGCAATTTCCCCGCTATAGGATTTCAAGAAAAAAATGAATTACTACTTAAAGATTTAGTCATTATATTCTTATTTATACCTACACATCCATTTTGAGATCACGTTTGTTTAAAAATCTTTTTGTTAACATATTTGGAAATGAACTGTCAAAATCAGCTTCTGATATGGGAACTTCAAGATCCTCCAAATTTTCGGCACTGATAGAAGATTGGAAAATTTAAATAAAAATTATGTGATGTGCTGTAATCTATCAAAATGTTAATAAAAGAAAGTATTTAACTCACTAGGTAATAACGGCACGTCTTAATCCATTAAAGATCTCCCTTTCCTCATCATTGAATTTGACATTTCTATTTTTTTCTATCGTTTCCGGATTCAAATCGTCAATCGCATTGATAATATATATATTCATCATTTTTTTTGGATACCTAAAAATATAGTGTTAGTGACATTTCAAAAAAAATGCTATAACAAGATAAATCTTTCATCAACCTTTTCCACTTCATCAAAAAAATATTCAACAACATCTGGTATATCTGATTCAACTAATTTTACTTCTTTTTTAAAGCTTTCATTTATTTCTTCCCAGTCATCCGTTGAAAAACAAAATTTTATTTGGGTATCTTCTGTTAAATCGAGAATGTTCCAGTACGCGAGGCTATAAAGAAATTCCAAGATTAAATATAGTCATCACTAACTTTTATGACCTCTGCCAATTCAAAAAACTTACTTCAAACATTTATGAGCCTCAGGAATTGTCTTAACATATTTTGCTAATTCATCTCCAACGTTGGTACCACTATTGAGAACCCACGATCGATGAGCAGTTGGTTGATTTTCTTCTGTACGTTCTATAAAGTTATTATCACTGTCGCCATCGCTGATATCATCTTTATAAACCTTGTCGTTATTACCCTTGCTTATAAAAAATTCTTCGATTTCGTTTATATCCTCCTCTTCCTGATCTTCTTGATCCTCTTCACTTATATCTAAGTTGGTATTTTTTGCTGATTCGTCCTGTAATAAAAATTTTCATAATCGTTTAATATTTATTACAAGCCCTTTAGCTATTTCTGAGGAGTAATAACCTACCTTGTTTAATGACAACGTGTTTATTTCTTTGTGAAGATTAAGATTGGTATTACGTACATTACGGCGAATAAAGATCTATGTGATGCAGAATTTTTATCAATGTTAGGTCAAACTATCTTAATATTAAAGTCAGCAACTGGACATACTGCTGTCTTTTCTTGCATCCATCTTTCCCAATCCCGCTGAATCTTTTCTTCCTATTAAAAAGGGACCACATAATTAGAAGTAATGTAATATGACATCAGTAGGCACGAAAAATCCATTAAATTACATACATCAAGCGTTTCTTTCTTTTTTTGGAGTTTATTCTTCAGTTTCGGATCATCGGTTTCGCTCAAGGCTAGATCAAGCACTTTATGATATTTTTCAATTGCTCGAACTCGATGAACGGGACATATATATCGAAAGAATTCGAGAGGACTCGGATCAAGACAGTTTAACATCCAGTTATTATGGCCTTCTTGCTGAGTTATGTTGCGTGTGGACTTCATTATTACCTTGGGAGTACAATAAATAAAAAATTAAATATCTTGTTGAATGAAGTAAATGAGAAAATCACTAAAAGTGAGTAGTTATTGCACAAAAGGCCGGCCACCGACTGGATGATGACTCGCCATTGCTGGCTTCCGATAGACTCCCTCTACCGCAGACGCCTTGTGTGTTTAACAACCCCATAACTTCTGTGCAATGAAGTCAGCCGGCCACCGACTGGATGATGACTCGCCATTGCTGGCTTCCGACAGACTCCCTCTGTCGCAGACGCGTTCTTCTTGCTTAACAGAAGCTACGTTCTCTATCGCAGGCACTAAATAAGAGAAAACTGAGCCCACCTGAATATACGTTGTTCGAAAGACAAATTTTTTCGGAAGAAAATCACTCGCAGATTTAGAAGATGCAGTTAACAATGAACAAAACAAAAAAAAAAAATTTTTTTATTGCACAGCCCCATTAAGGGTAGGGGGAATCACGTGGTAAATTAATAGTAAACAATGGCTCAAAAAAAAATTTTTAATGTTGATCATCATAAATAATAATAATAACGTAAAATAATAACTCAACATTATCAACATTAACACTTAATACTTTTGCCAATCAGTCTTAACACTTACTT